GCCTCGGGGCCGCACCCCGCGGCATCGCGCTCACGTTCCCTCACAGCCCTGGCGTCTCCTGCCCATCGCCTTCCCCCTGAGGTGCGAGGTATACAAAGCAAAGCATACCTACCAACAATCCTTGCTGCAAGGAGAGAAATAACATCCCCCTGAAACGAGACCGCCAGCGCTTAACAATATTCCCGTGACATCGAAACACCCAGGACTGTCTATTCAAGTGCATCCTTCGCCCCTCTGGTTCCCGTCCCCAAGCACGCAAAAGATCATTTTAACAAAACCTGGGCTATTTCCAAATCCGCTTATGCACGGTCAGGTCTGTCAGCTCTTCTTGCTGGGGCCATCAGAGGAGAGGAAGACCTGGAGGAAGAATTAAACGGAAGTGGTAGGACCCTTCTGGATTAAATGGGACTCGCAAGGCTGCAGGAAAGCACAGGGCTGTGGGACAAGTGCCCAAAGATAGATGATGTCCCACGAAACCTGCACTGCACCAGTAGCTGAAAAACAGTTTATGATGGGCTCAAGAAGTCATATGAGCTGTTGTGGCAGTGGAGGAGCAAAGCCTACACAACAGCTTCTTTCTTTGGGAGGAGCAAACATCTGCATGGCACGAAAACAACACCGCTAGGGAAGAAAAAAAAAAGAGGATGAACCCACATGTCACTTGTCTGCAAAATCCAATAGTGGAAGCTTAGAGTTCAGCCCCTGGGTGGCTGAGGGACACCAGAGCCAGCCTGCCCAGCCTGTGGGAGGAGCTGAGAAAGAGCCATCACATCACTTTTGGCCAGTGTTCAGGAAAGCACCAACTGGCTCCAGAAGAAGTCATAAGCAAGTCTCTTCTGCTACATTCTGCAAATAGGCCTTTCAAAGGGATCATGGGTCAGGTTGGTGGGAAATAATACTCCTCAAAGACAACCTTCCTCAGAACTGGAGAAGAAACTTCTTTCATGTTTGTAGGCAATTTACCTTGGCTCACGATGATTGCAAACCTCAGAATAACTAAGGTTTGCTCACCTGCAAAAGCAACATGAGATCTGCCCACCCATCCATCCTGACACGTGGCACCATGGCTGCCGTAGGACACACGCACCAGGCATTTTGAGCGCAGGACTACCAGACCTCTCCCCTCACAGCCAGAGCACTGCTTTCAAATGTGGAGGTCCAAGTAGACAAACCTACCTAATAAACCAACTGACTCCTCTTCCTGCATGGAGATGTTTTACCCTGGGATGCCAGCTAAACACAGAAAGGACCAAACCATGGGATGGACATGGACAATGGCTCAAAAGAACAGTACATCCTGAGAAAGGATAAGGAAAGAAAGGGAAGAAACAGAGAGGGGGTTGAAGCAGCAATGACAGCGAAACGGACACATGAACAGCACACAAGGGGAAAACAGTGGTCACCGTAAGCATTCCTTTATGCTAAAAACTGTATCTAACCATGTCTAACAGTTGCAAATGGTAGTTCATGCATCAAGGTTTGTGCTACCAATACGGGAGCGAAGGGGACATGCATGGGAAGTTGGGTGGCGTGGGAACTAAGAGCTGCTCGTTGATCTGCGACAGCATGGCTTGAAGCTGGCAAACCCTGCTCAGGCCAGGACCCACAGGTTCTCAGCTGCTTAGAAAATCCAGTTTACAACCAAAGGATGGATAGACAGATAGATAGACAGACAGACGGATGCTTTGGGGACCTTGTGGTCATTTCTAATTTGGTTCCTACGGTCAACTTCAAGTCTCTTTTACAGCTGAGTCACCCGGTTTCGAAGTGTTGTTTCCAACTTCTTGCAGAGCTGTCTTCCTGTCCCACGTCCTCCCCAGTCCCACCCTACCCACATGTGCACCCGCTGTCCTGCAGCGCAGCCTGCTCTTCCTCCATGCTGTCCCGCTCCTTGCCACTCTTCCCCTCTTTGTCTCTACCTCACTTCCTTCCATTTTGCCTCTCCACTGCCTTTGCCCTTCCCAACTAACCCTTTACTGTCACACTCCAGACTTTCTCAAGTTTTGACAAGTTTCTTTTCTGAAATGGGAAGTGGTATACCAACCGATTACCACACGCGGTCTTCTGGTAAAAATCCTGTCCTCCCCTCATCACCTCATCTCCCTCCCTTTCTACCATCTTCCTTTTGTTTGTCTTGGCTGCTCTTTTGCCTGCTCTTAAATTGCCAACTCTTCAAGGGCAGCACCAGAATCCAGTCCATAGAATTCCATAAGGCACCTAAATATGCTAAATATTATAAGATTATATTATAATTTTTTTTTTTTTTTGCTTTTGATTTTCAATAAACTCCCTGAAAATCCAACTAAGCAGGACCCTAAGTAGACAGACAGACGTGTTCTGTCAACAGGAAGTTTCTCTTGCATAACTTCTCTGGCAGTTCTGGAAAGCCAAATGCGGTTGGGTTTATTTTCCTCACTGCAAATTAATAGTCTGGACAAAAGTGAACCCATAAAGCAAAATCATTTCTGAGAAAGGAAATTCTAGAAAAGCAGATGATTTTTAGCACGCAGAGCTGCCCTCGTGAAACATCTGCTATGACGTAGTCCTGTTCTGGCCGTAGACCAAGCATATCAATAGCTCCACAGAGTAATGGGATAAGAAGTGGGAAAATTGCCATTGCTTGTTTAGCAGCTTGTTTTGCTGATAAATGTCTGTCACTTTTCAAATAGCTACAGTGTAATTGTTTTTTGGGGAAAATATTTCCTTGAGCAGGAGGTTTGCAGGCCATTAGCTATTTCCCATCTGTGCTGGTGTTTTAATACACCACATATACGCTTTGCTCCCTATTAGAAATTATTCACAGCTTTTGGTTATGGACTGGCAGCCTGAAGTTTAGAAATCACATCTGTCATTAAAAAGTTTTCTCTAGCCTTAAAGAAAATTTAAATCTCAAAATCATTAGAACCAATATGTATTTTTTGAAAGAACCTCTGAAGACTGCTAGAAAAAAAATACGCTTCTTAGACATCTGTAATTTTAAAATAATGAATGACGGCACAAAAGCAGTAGCTGTTTGACTAAAGCGTGCTCGTTCCACGGCTAGAGGCAGAACATCACTCGGTCAAGCACTGCCACGCACTGGAGTTCATCCCATCTCTTTTCAGACTGTGCCATGAAAATTTTTAAATTCCACCTGATAGCTGCTAGGACAGTCAAGAGACAGACCTCTGTTTAATATCACACAATACCTCTAGTAACTATCTGCTTTCGCTTCACACACATACACTCAACATGCAATTACTTGCAGTAGGTTTAGCTGGGCCAAAAGACACAGAACTATACTCTTACCTGCATCAACTGAAATACTAGATGCATACATTTCGGGGGGGGGGGGGAAATCAAACCATTCCTTATTAATAAGTATCCTTCTCCTTTTTTCTCCTCCTCCCATCAGAAAAAAAGCAGAGAAAAAATAGGGAGAGATGTAAAAACGTGGGTACTGTTGCAGATTTATTCCAGCAATAAACTTTTGTCATCTGAATCCTTTGCATTTTTTTTAATTCAAGAGGATCACATGAAGTTTCTATCCTAACTAATTTTTAGACTTCACAGAACACAGTTAGGGAGAAAAAGAAAAGATATTCAGGATTAGAAAGTGCCCCTCAAAGTATGAATATAGGAATGGAGGGAAATTTCCACGTCAAGTCCTACACAGTGGGGAAACTCGCACCATTATTTACCGCTGGGACCGACGGGCAAAAGGACCAATGTACAGCCAGTGAATGCTTTTCAGAATTTATTGTAAAAAATAGTATTAAACAATAGGAAAAAAGCCACTCCTTTTTCAACCCACCACATATTGCTTTATATGGAAACAATGGAAAAATGTGACAAAAATGTATTTACCCATTCCTATCCATATATCAGATAATTCCAGCTTCTCAGGACATGCTCATGGGAAAAATATTGGCAGTATCACAGCATATGGAAGTGGAAATAAAAAACATGCAGTATTTTCAATTGCAGTTGGGAGGCCTGTTTCCTGGAGTCTAAAGATCATGTTGTTTTATCTGTTTTCCTTTAGCATAATGTACATTATCAGACTTTCATAACTTCAGACACCGGCAGAAAGCCCTGATTTTTTGCCAATGGTGACATACCCACCTCAAAGATAAATGTGGAAGTCAGAATGTCTGCCTTATTTCTGTTTGCAATTTCCTTTCCATAGGAACACGCACATGATATAGTTCCTGCTAACAGATATTTAAAGCTTGGCCAGCCCTTTTTCACTTGTACCAGTTCAACCCCACTGGAGGTCCTCAGGGCAGCACAAACAATAGAGAACAGACTTCCAACACCACCCCGCGTTTGTTTTGGCCAAAAGCTACTTGTCCTAACACCAAATTATTCATGTTAAACATAGTTGATAGGTCTTCTGCTTTTGTCTACAAACAGAAAGATGTCAGATTCTGCATTAAAGTGTATTACAAAAAATGTAACCCAATACATTCCACAGTTATTTTTTTGTGGATTTTCTAGCTCATGTCAAAACTGTGAAGTACCAGTGTTAATTTGAACAGAGCTCAATTTAAACGGACCCCAAAAGAATGAGCACACAGCAGTATTTATCTGGTGTAATTAGCTTCATTATCAATTGGTAAAAAGTTAATTTCGTTTCAGTTTCATGCTCAAAAGTGGTAATCAGAAAAAACTTAAGTTGCATGGCACCTTTGAGTCCACCTCACTTTCAAGTCAAGGGATGAACTTATATATACATAGGTCCATCATTTTAGGTATGGCATGAGTATAGAACCCAAATACTCAGAAAACAGGGGTCAGCAGAAACCTATGGATAATGCTAAATAACAGTACCTAACCGTTTTTTTCCACTGCTGTGCTTGCTGAAAACTGATAACAGCATCCACAACAGTTTGAGGTGACTCACACAACTGACAGTCACTGGTGTAGGGTGCAGTGGAAATTTTGGTCATTCTGAAAGAAGATACAATGGAGCAATACAGGAAATTCCATACTGAGAGGACAAAGTCAAACATTTGTTCTCTTGCACATCATAAAAAGTATTTTTGGTTACAAATTACCACTGCAAACAAACTTCTCATAGATAAAACTAAAAACGTCTCTACCTAAAAAGCTTTCAGGAGGATCAAAACCCCACAAACCAAAACTAAGAAGTTTTCTCTAAGTCCTCTTCCCTTCTGAGTTGTGACAGTCTTCTTATTTTAAGAAAGACCCTCCTCTTGGTCAATCAATTCCGTTTTGGTGGAGAACACATCAGCCAGCATGTGCTTTGGGATTTCAGATCCCCGTACTTTTAATGTATAGCAGGCATTTTCTACTTTTGCCAGACTCTGTTTCAAGGTATACAGCTTCTTAGATACTTCGTACGGTCCAGTGTTGCCAATGAAAGTAAAACCATCATAAATCTGACGTAAGAACTGGCTCAGTTCAAAAGGCGTGTCTATGTCACCATTTCCAACACTGCTGATGCACAGCCGCATCAGCTCTCCAGTTAGATCAGCCACTCCCAGCAGGTAATCCACTGGTGTTACCTTCAGGCTCCAAGTGTGGGGTTGCTTATCATGGGAATTGGAGGTCTGAGGACAGAACAGAACAAAGTCCAGTACAGAGAACTATGAAAAAGCAGTCTATAGTGGTTCAAATACACACTAACTTACCCAACATAACTGGTAATTAAAAACATTCCAGAAAATTAAATTGCACAGCACTTCCACACAGTCTGATTTCAGAAGTACTAATCTCCTTCCAGCATACCAGAGGGTATGAAAGCATCATTTCCACTTGAGATGTGACTTCCATTCTAGCAAGCATGATAAACATACCCTGCTTCTACCATCTCTATGTGCAAACAGAATTATCATGTCTTTGTACCAACATTTACTTGCAGTTGCTTTTTTTTGGCTGACAGATCTCTGCCTAATAGATTTAAATTTTCCCTAAATGATCTGTCCAAAGCTACCAAAGCAATCAAGAACCCAAAAGAGTCTGCATTATGAAAACAAATCACATAATTTTGTAATAGTATCTTGAATTTCAAAATATATTTTCTATAAGAAACTGATAGTTCTCAGATCTGTTTTATATCAACTGAACTCTTTAAAATAGCTTAAAAAGATACTTCATGAAGAAAACTCTTCACAAAGTTACAGGTTTGCTCCTGTATCCAAACTTCCAACACTTTTTCTTGCCAAAATATTGGTAACTTGGGAGACAAGGCAGGTTTCTTTCTGTTCCCTTGTTCCCATAACATGCTATCTACCCAAATTCACAATTGTGGTCATAGGCGTGTACGCAGGGGTTAACAACTTTGCAATTTGTTAAAACAAGTGTGCCACAACGGGTTTGCTTCTGGTAAGAACAAATGAACTTAAGCTAAAAACTTGGCTTCTTTGCAAATATCTTACCAAAAGAATGAAGAAAAAATAAGAAGTGCTTTACAGCAGAATCTCTTCAACAGAAGCAGAACCAGGAATTATTCTAAAACAGTAGTGCTGTGCATTACTAGATACTGCACATGTGCTGCATGTGCATCTCTGAACATCACTACAAAACTGCCTTTTGCCCCCTGTAAACAATCGAACTGCACCCAGTTTACTGTGGTCGGTAGTAGTAGTTTGTCCCTATGCAAAAAGTTCTATTTAGGGCAGGGTAGGAGTATAGGCAAGTCAGGAAACAGTAGACGTGGTATTAGGGCTAAGGTATGATGGGACACAAGCTTGTCCTCTGAGGGAAGGCATCAAGATCAACTTTCCTGAAAGTTACAAATGACCAAGCCAAGACATATGTCGTGCTTTTTAACAGAAGCTGAATAAAGCTGTGACTAGTTCAGTAAGATTTCATTCATGGAGTTCATCCTGCCTTGGATTCGTCTCCCCTAACTTTTGCTACATCACTATACACCAATAGGACTTACAGGCAGTCCCAGCCATTAAAAATCCCTCCTCTACATTTGTTTGCTAGTATTTCACTATCCTGGATCTTTCCCCCTACCAGAAGTTCAGTTTGCTCTGAATAAAAAGGATGTGAAATTTATAAACTTGTATCCCATGGATTTAGTTTACTACTTGTCAGAATAAGAAGTATGTTTTGAACAAGTGAGTCAAAGCCCACATGTATATCTAACACCATTCCACTAACTGGCCTTATTTAATCAGATGCCAAAAATGTGACTAAGCCTACTTATTGCATTTCCAACCTAGAAAGATGTTTGTCATAGGAGAAAAGAAAAACTTTTACCATGTTTATTGTTTCTTCTCTGTTTTCCACTGTAAATATTAGTTGTTTGTTGATCTCTTCAACGCTAATCAAAGATCGTGTTTTGATAAAATACTGAAATGAGACTGCCTCAACATATTCTTGAAGTCCTGAAAAAATTGCAGAAGAAATAAGCTAATGATTCAAACTTCCAGCAATGATCCATGCTCACAATTATTTAATTTTTTAAAGAAATCTTTCAAGTGAAACTATTTTAAGGTTACCAGCAAAAACTGAAAACTAAGATAATCCAGAAATAGCATTGAAACATCATTTAACATAGCATGCTTCCGAAGTACGAAAACCAGACCAAGAACACAGCAGATAAACATTTTCAAGTTTTTACTCCAACTGCATTTTTCATTCAGAACCTTCCATAGTATCAGTATAAAGCATGATGTTACTCTCAGAACACACTGAAGAGCAGCTCCCTGTAATGTTCCTCAGGGGTTTGTACTGGGACCAGTACTGTTTGATATCTTCATCAACACCACAAACAGCGGGATCAAGTGCACCCTCAGCATTTGCAGATGACACCAAGCTGAGCGGTGTGGTTGACACGCCTGAGGGACAGGATGTCATCCAGAGGGATCTCGACAAGCTTGAGAAGTGGGCCCATGCGAACCTTGTGAGGTTCAAAAAGGCCAAGTGCAACGTCCTACACATGGGTTGCAGCAACTCCCAGTATCAGTACAGGCTGGGGGATGCAGGGATTGAGAGCAGCCCTGTGAAGGACTTGGGGTACTGGTGGATGAAAAACTGGACATGAGCCAGCAACGTGTGCTTGCAGCCCAGAAATCCAACCATGTCCTGGTCTGCATCAAAAGAAGTGTGACCAGCAGGTCAAGGAAGTTTATTCTGCTCCTCTACTCTGCTCTTGTGAGACCCCACCTGGAGTACTGCATCCAGCTCTGAGGGCCCCAGTACAAGAAAGACGTGGACCTGTTGGAGTGAGTCCAGAGAAGGGCCATGAAGATAACTGGAGGGCTGGAGCACCTCTCCTACAAAGACAGGCTGAGAGAGTTGCGGTGGTTCAGCCTGGAGAAGAGAAGGCTCTGGGGAGACCTTACTGCAGCCTTTCAATACTTAAAGAGGGCTTATAAGGAAGATGGGGACAGACTTTTTAGTAGGGCCTGTAGCAATAGGACGAGGGATAATGGTTTAAATAAAAGAGGATGGATTTAGATTAGATACAAGGAAAAAATTTTTCACTGTGAGGGTGGTGAGACACTGGAACAAGTTGCCCAGAGAAGTGGTAGATGTCCCATCACTGGAAACATTCGAAGATCAGGCTGGACAGGGCTCTGAGCAACCTGATCTAGTTGAAGATGTCCCTGCTCATGGCAGGGGAGTTGGACTAGATGATCTTTAAAGGTCCCTTCCAACCCAAACCATTCTATGATTCTATTATAATGTAGTTTTTAAATATGGTATTTGTATGATAGAGAGTGCAGATTACTATTTCATAAGTTCACAAAGATACAGGACACAATGCAGAGAAAAAGACTGCAGATAAATCAAAAGCAAGGCAGGCTGCTCACCTACAAAAAAAAAAAAAAGAAAAGAAAAAGTTTCCTTCGTTTCATCTTATCAGCAACAGTAGACATTCATTTAAAACTGAATTTCCCACTTCTCTATTTTGTGGAAATTAGCAAGAGTCTCCCTAAAACATGCAGGTTAGGTGAAATTCACATTCAGGACAAAGCATCTGTTGTTACAAATCACTCCAGATAAAAAATAAAAAAATGAGCAGACAGAGCTGTGATGTCCAACAAGAGGAATATACTTGGACAACAGTTCTGTCCAAAAGAACTTATACTCTAAAAAATGTGAGAGGCTTTGCAGTTGATGATTTTTCACTTTCCCTGGAAGAACCTAGAAATAAGGCATGAACCAGAAATGATGAGAGTAGTAAAATGCAACAAGCCGAAGGTATCAAGTTTCAAATAAGTAACTTTCAGGCTGAAGAAAATCAGTGTGACAAAGTTTGTTGGCACACTTGGTGATGTGAGAACATCAGAGAAACAGAGAAAGTAACGAAACAGAAACAAAGAAATGAACAGAATTAGATCTGATAAATATTAGCTTATTCACTGCAAATTCCATTAATTTTCCAGTATAATCAGGAAACTTTGTTTCCATTTCTGGCATTTTACCTCTCACCCACAACAGCAAAGAGATGAACTTTAATTCTTCAGTTACATCCTGTTCCTGTGTTGTTATGTTTTCTCACCATCTTGCAGAAACCTGATTGCTTCCTTCATGGATAGCCTTCCTTTCAAGTTTTAGGTGTATTCAAGTTTTTTCCTGGGTGAGACGTTTACAATTCATGATACCTTCCACATGCAGTAAAAAGCTTTTCCTTTGTATCACCAACCTACGATTAAATATGCCACCTATTTTTATTAGTTTTTAAACTTCCTTAAGAAGAAAAAAAAAAACCTACTTCTACTGGTCCTGATGTGCAAAATAGTTCTTTACCTTGGCAGTATTTCAGAAATACATCAGTGTTTATAAATATAAAGGTAGCTAAGCACAGCTCAAGCATGAGATGTTCTTTCCAAATTACAAGTGAAAAACTTAAGAACAAAAAAACAGGTAACACAGAAATCATTACCTCGATAGTTCCTTTAATTTGTGTTCTAATCCAAATACCAAAAAAAACCCCAATATTACTTAAATAATGAGTAATCTAAATCTGGCCTGCTTGGACGAATCTCACTCATCTCCATAGTATTTCTTATAGCATCATATCTGGTGGTCCTACTTACTGCAGTTAAAAACCCGGGATTCTAGCACAATTAAAGTGTTTCCTTTTCATCCGCACAGACTTAACTGACTTTGTCCAATCCAGCAATGCAGTTTGTTGCAATATGATTACACACCTAAAGCGACTCTAAATGGTGGAAGGCAGGAGACAGAAATAAGCTCCATTATATCATTCTCTCAGAACACAAATAGTGCCTGCACAAGATAAATTATGCGTTAGACTGCGTCAATGCTGAACTTTTACACAGAATGTCCCGCATCATCAGAAGCAGTCACAGAGCAATAGTTTTGACAAGGTGCTGACATTTACAGCCTCGTCATCTAATCCTATTGAGAGCAAGTGCAGACATGATAAAGAGCTAATGAGCTCCTCTGCGCACACCGCTCCACTCACCACTGCTGCTGCTAGCACAGGCGCACAGCAAACAGAAAGGTCAGCCAACAATGCTCTGGTTGCATCTATCATCACTCTACAACACACTACTGAAGAAGCCCAAGAAGAAAGAGGGGCTCCTCATTCCAGATTTTTGCCTACATGCTATCAGCTGTGAAGGTAATACCACACCTCTACTTGCTTCTAGCAGAATCTAATGACCTCATTGTAAAAACATCAACACGTAGTTACAACTATCACTCCAAGAGGTTTTCTTAGTCAAGCTGCCCTACAGAAAATAGTTTTAACACCTCAAAAGCCTTGCAGTTCTCTCACACACCCTTATTGTTAAGGGACAAAAAAATGAGTAACTCTTCAAATAGCTAGAGATATAATTTAACAAAGTTATGTTAAAAAGGTACTCCATTCAATCCCACACAATGCCAACCTATCAAGCAACTCTTAGTTTCCCTCTGCATTACACAAGTTTTGTGTTTATGCAGAGCAGATTTAGAACATGCTTAGAATAATTCCATAAATCCTAGCATGTTGCAGAGCACCCTCTTTCTTGTCTTTAAGGCTCGTACAGGTCTTTCCTGCATACTAGTGATATTTTCCTTGGTATTTTAGAATTAAATATCTACACATAAATACCCAAACACACATATATACATCTATAAAATCCTGAAAAATTTCTTCCTCTCCTTCATAAGTCATACAATCTTTTTCAGTCCTTTTCTTGCACAGTGTCTCACAACAGTTTTAAAGAAACAGTACACATTTCCTCACAGGATATATAAGGTATACACTGCAAAGTGGGGCAAAGGAGCAGGAATTCTATATTACAAATAGTAAAGCTTTAAAAATATCAACAAAGCAGAACATTCTAACATAACAAATGAAGAGCTCCACATTAAAAAAAGACTTCATTATTTCAGTATCTCTTTGTTTGCTTGTTTAATCATCCCCTGGGACAATGTGTACTGTTAAGAAACGTGTAGAAAACAGTCATCAGTTTTTGTTGTTGTTCAATTAGTGCTATACTCAGTGTTTGAGCTCATGCAAGTGTCCTTTGGGGAAACGTCCTGCGTGCCATTAGCACTATTCTTAATGAGGGAAAGCATGAAACTCCTTTAGTGCTCTGCCAGAATTGTTTTATCTTCAAGTCAAAAGAACAACTGCTTGGAGTAACCCCAAAAAAAGCAGTTAACAATTACAAGTGGCAAACAATATTCCCAAGCATTATACTCATAGCATTCTTCTATTTATAGGCTAACAGTTATTATACTGAATAAAATATGTATTAGGCAGCTTTATTATGCAGACAGTCATGACTCCCCAGTTAAGGCTGCTACGATGGTTACCATTATAAGCCCATTTTTGATCCCTTTTACTCTTTCTGTGAGAGGTAGGGTGGGGAACAGGAGGATGTTTCATGTTTGGTTTCAAGACAAAGGAGAATATTTTTAGGAAGTTTGAGGTTAATTGGACATGCTGCTTTTGAGATATGGGACACAGGCATTTCTTTATTCTTTTCTGAAGAAAAAAGCAGTTTAATGGCAATGTTTTTGTTCATAAAAAGCTTTTTAACTCGTTCTCCAGAATTTCTTTAAAATACTAAAATCAGAATTGAAAAGTAGGTGAAAGGAAGGTCAAGACTTACAGCTCTAGGAAATACAAAAGATAAAAGATTTAGCACTTTTTCCAGCTACATTTAATTTCAAAAAGGCACACCAGCTTTTTCCACTACAACAGCAATTAAAGAACACTAAACTTAAAAACAAAACTAAAAGCAATATGCTTAACTTTTATTACTGTTTCCCTCCTAATTACAGCTCTTCATAACAGTGAGGGGCAAGGGGAATAAAGCATTCCCTCTCACAGTTGCTCTTTATCTAACCGTCCCCTTGTTCTTCATGTCTCTAGGTTTTCTATCTCAGCTTCATAACCTTGACATCAAGCATCTTCACATCTCTGACACCTCCTCGATCCTAGCTTCAGCACTATTAAGATCTCCAAGTCTTTAAGCCTGCATATTCCCTTTTTTGCCATCCCAACGACTAACTGGAAAACAGAGGATTTAATGGACAAGGTAAGAGTAAAGCTCTGGCTAAAAGTTTGCATTTCATACTTGCCATATACATGAGCTCATTTAAGCAACGCCTAAAAGCATTCCCTGTCTTCTCAGTGACATACACGTATATTCCAACATGTTCCCTTACAAAACATGCACAATGGACACCAGCTGGCACAAACTCCCCTCACAGAGGAGCATCACATAGAAGAGCTAGAATTTAAGTAGATGCTGTGGATGACCTATAGAAATGGAATGAAGGCAACTTATTTCAGCTGGATTTTATATACAGCCTTCTTAATGAGGCAAGAACTACCTAATTACTGAAACAATGGGATGGTCTCAGAGCCAGGCAGTATTATACAATTGATGAGATTCCACAGACTTGCCACTCACTCATGTCACCTGAAGAGAGGAAAAAGGTAAAAGTACAGCCATTCCCAGTTCTAACTCCAGAAATGCAATGGAGAGCTGAGTATTTCTATCTTTTAGTTCTGTCCACAAAACTGCAAAGTTCAGGCATTTGTTTGAGAGACTGCACACCTGATTGCTGAAAAGATGGACAGAAGAGTCTACTTCTCCTCCCCATTATTATTTAGTGTACTAATACCTCTTTGCCTTTCTTTTTACCTAGAGAGGTCAATAAGATTCATTCTCTTAAGTTGTCTTAAGACTGTAACAAGAAAATTCTTTAATTCTACAACAACCTCACTCCAAGTCCCTTGCAAGTATATATAACTGTGTGCAGTTCTGGGCCCCACAAAGCTGGTGAAAGGGCTGAAGGCATGTCCTCTGAGAAGCAGCTAAGGACTTGGGCTTGTCTAGTTTGGAGAAGAGGAAGCTGAGGGGTGACCTCATTGCTCTCTACAGCTTCCTGAGGGGGGGACAGGGAGAGGGAGGTGCTGAGCTCTTCTCCCAGGGATCCAGTGATAGGACATGTGGGAATGGTCCAAAGCTGCACCAGGGAGGTTTAGACCAGACATTAGGAAGCATTTCTTTACCGAAAGGGTGGTCAAACACTAGAACAGGCTTCCTAGAGAGGCAGTCGGTGCCCCAAGCCTGTCAGTGTTTAAGAAGCATTTGGACAATGACCTCATTAACATGCTGTAATTTTTGGTCAGCCCTGAAGTGGTCAGGCAGTTGGACTAGATGATCATTGCAGGTCCCTTCCAACTGAAATAGTCTATTCTACTCTAAAAGTTTTGTAGCTGTGGAGGCATTGAGTCATCATACATATGCAGGAGGCCTCTAATTTCCTCTGCTAGAGGCCTGCTCGACAGTGGACACATACATCTCAGTCATTTTAAGAGGCTGAGATTTAAAACACTGGGGAAAAATTTTAGAAATGCTGAATTGTTTCTGACAGCATATTTTGTTTTCTAAAGTTTATTCAAGTCCATTTTGATATTAACAGATATCTTTATGCAAGGCAGAAATCAATTACACAGGAGAATCTGTGTAGCTGACTGTTTATAAATATTTACTAAATACACAAAGCAAACCTGAACAAAAATTTTTTCATTAATTTCTTTATTCTCAGGTTTCTATGGCCAGCTTAAGTTTACATATCTTTCGTAGAAAAAAAAAACACCTAACTTTTCAGGTTGGAAAAGATGTATTTTAAAAAAAAAACAAAACCAGTAATTTTTTTTTTTTTTTTTTTTTACTCAGCAGAGAGAATCTGGAAGTAGAAACCTAGCATCAGGTTTGCTCACTTACTGTAAGACAAGGGCACACACAGAAGTTATCGCACGTTAAGTTTCCATATGTCAGCTGTGTAGGTGTACTCTATTACGTCTGAGATGAATGCATGTTAATTCTAGGCAGGCTTCCCCTCAGCCAAAATAGAAGTAAGTATGCCTCTGAATTTAACCACACAAAGCCACACAGTAAGAAAACAAAGACAATTCAGATGAAGCAGTTGATGCAGGGTAATTGGTTACCCTATAACAATTTTGCTCACATGGCAAGGCTGATAACTTGTATCATGAGGTCTTACAAAGATCCATGAGGTAGCAGACCTCAAATGCTGTTGTTCTATAGATAGCACTATATGACTAACATGGACTACAAACTTTAGGGGTTATTCAGACATAGTTTACAAGTCTCAACAAAGGTTTCAAAAATTTTTGTTCATAAAACCGAACACCAGGATTTTCAGCTTTATAAGCAGTACTTAAAATGAAAATCCAAACTCATTTTCCACAATTCAAGATACTCATACTTGGACTAGTATTGTTCACAGTTTGAGGTCATCTGTAGTGTCAGAGTTTTGAATTATCTCTTTCTTTTCATTGCCTGATTAGAGTACTAAGCTATATATAGCAGCAAGATGCACAGATTGTAAGCAGCTCTTCTAATAATAACTACTTACATTTAATTTGAACAACCCAATGTACCATAGGCAAGAGGACTGTGGAATTGAAGCAGAGCCATTGAAGACTAGCATGGCAAGCTCCCTCTGGTTCAGAAGTGCCAAACTGAGCTTTCACTTAAGGGCTGTCTGGCTCTCAACAAACTTAAGTTTGTGTAAGACATAAGTACAAGTTAACCTGTGCATCGTTCGTCTTGTAAATTACATAGATGTATTTGCTGCTAGTTTATCAAATCAATCCTATGGGCGTTTTTAAACAAGTAAATAATTCAGGGAAAATCTTCAGCTCTCCTCAACTGAAGAAGTCTTGCCTGAACAAGGAAAGATAGACAGGATTCCAATATGTTTAAAACAAGATTGATAAACACAAGACACTTTTATACTGTGACAAAGCTCTCAAAGAAGCAGCTACATATTTTACTCACGTGTTACCACAAACAACGCATAACAATTTTAGATAAGATTCAGATTGTCAGCTAGGATTCAGCAAAGAAATATGATTTGACAGCAAGAGTCATGAAAGCACTAGGACTCTGTATCTCAAGGATGTTAGTAAAGACTGCTATTTATGGAGATGAACGGAAAAGCAGTGATTGAAACAGATATAAACTGATTTAATACTTGTAACAGAAACACATTCAGAGTCTTTAGAAGAAAGAAAATGCTAATCTAAGAATTTTAATTCATGAACTTTATCAACTCAGAATGGGATAATTTCACACTATAGTCGCTCCCACTTTCCTCCCAGAAATGATAGCCCTTCAGGTGGGGTAAATGACTGTGCTGCACATAGCCCTCTCAGAGAAGACCAGCCAGTACATTCATTAAAACTATTGCCAACTTCAGTTTAGGTCAGGGTCCAAATTTTTCCAGTTGTTGTCTCCCATTTAAACCTTTGTTTAATGCAATGATAAGACGACTGTAGGGCAACAGCCTCTCCAGTATCAGAGGCTAACAGCAAAGATTAATCTGAGTCCTAATTCGTAACTAAAGAAATGTGCCAAATTCAGACTTGCAGCATGAAGAGGAACCACTGCTACATAAAAAGAAATGGATCTGAGTGCAAAATAGCATACTTTCCCTATTTTAAAATAATTTACCTGGAGATATAGCCCTGTGGAACTGATACATGTCTTCTCCAATCAGTTCTTGTGCAACCTGCTTAATCTTCCGTCGGACAGCATCTAGCTTGACTTCAGATTCATTTAGTATTTCTTCCCCATTGGGAGCACTGCCATCATAAAACAGAAACTGAAAGAGCAGCTTTCAATACATGAGCAAACAGTTAAAAAATATTATACATCTTCTTTTACTAACCAATACATTTTCAACAGCTTCAGGAAAAAGCAAAGCTGATATCAGAATGAAAAACAGTTTAACTTTCATTCATACCTAATGCAGACTCTGAAATTCTGTAGATTCTTACCCTGAAAATAATCAAACTTAGTTCCGGTAGCATGATGTTTATTCCAGACTAGAGTTTTAATTATTGCTTAAGTGAGAACAACGAGAAACACGTGCAAAAGCTTCAAAAAAGTATTCTGGAAAACTAGCAGTATTCGCAGAAGTCCTTCAACCTCTTAAAAAAAAAAAAAAATCCATATTTTGCAATACATTACAGTGTTGCAAAATACAATACATGATCTACTTCTACATGTGATTTTGGGGGTTTTTTTGAAGTAATTATGGACTATGCTATTCAGGAACAGTTGAAATATCTGATTCACAACCACAATATATACTTAGCATTTAAAGTTTAGTTTATCTAATTTCCTTTACACTTCCCCCTCCCCACTCCCAAATAATCTATATGATGTATTAGTTTACAGTCTATTTAAGGAACTTCTGGTAGATTGGTCTTGAGAAAACATTTAAAAGCAAACAGATTTCTGAAAGTAAAGCCACAATAATAGCTAAAAGCAAAGGAAAGGGAAATAAAATACAGCATGGAAAGCTTCTGCTCTCACAAAAACGGGAATTTCTTCCAAAACAGGAATCTAAAATTCAGAGTAAAGAGGAGTTTTTTGTTGTTCTTTCCTTTACCAGTTCCCAGCTATCTAGCCCTTGCAGTGGGAATAGCTATTTACAGTCAAGGCTGTAGCGGTTACTAGAATTATCACAATGCCTCTTCAACAGAAAAAGACCAAGTTAAAAAGAGGGTGACTTCATAATCCCTATTTATAACTGTTACTACTATGGTAACTATAAATAGTTACTACTACAGCAGACACGTATTGATAGGTAACAAAAAATAAATTTGAGAAAAGGAACAAGGAGAGCTGTTATAACTATGGCACATTAAGATCAACGTTTGACACGTACAGTAAACATTTTATACAACAGGCTATGCAAAGCTTCAAATTTTCCTGTTACTCTTCTAGTTTGTCTGTGGCTTCCAAAGATTGCTTGAAGGCTCATGAGAACACAAAACATGTAGAAACTCCAAACTTCACACAAAAGCCTCTTAGGTTGCAGTATGTATTGAAGTAAACAGAACCCAGGTCACCATGACCGAGGGTGGGGCTGCAAAAACCAAAATGGGGAAGTAACTGCAGAGGCAACTAACCTGAAGGAAGCGTGCATGCTCTTCTCTCCCAGCTTGCTGAAAGCTGGAAAGCTCTCATCTGCTGTTATGCTCTACTACTCTGATCCTGGTTAATAAGCCAATAAAATCAACTGAGAAACCTGAACCAGCATCTTTCAATTCTCTAACTGGAGTGCACATTCATTAGCTCACATCCACCCTAAAGAACGTTTATGGGAAGTTAATTAAATTCCTCTCAACAGAACATTGCAGCTATTAATCACAAATGCAGAGAACACTGCAAGGCAGCTTCTAGGTTTCTATGAACACTTTCATGCTCAATATGACTCACCTGGTAAACCTGTGGAGCAGAAATATTGTTCTTTTGCTTTCAATAGTTATATCACGACTGAGCTTCACAAGCCGTTCATATTTATCATGCCTGGTGTCCAGCTCCAGCTGAAACGCTGCAGAGTCAATCATTGCAGTGACAAGCATGGTTATCACATATGTAGAGCACAGGGGAAGAGCAGAGAGCCTGTGCTACAGTAACTGCTTGTGGTCCTCGGCCCCACCGGCCTTTTTGCCAGGGTGCCTTTTCCCGAGGTGGGCAGCACAGCTAGCTGCCCCTGCATGGGGCATGGCTGCGGAGGCCACCACTGCCCACCACCTGCCAGAGCTGCAAAATTCATCCTTGATACTACTTTTGTTTAATAAGTCGGGTTTAGCTATACATCAACCCTGATGATGCTTTAAGGCAGCCCAAACAATTTTAAGGTAAAACATTTGTTTTAACTAGTAAAATCTATTCTGAAATACTGCTCTTCAGGAAACTGACTTAAAATTTCACCCAATTCAGCAAGAGAAATTAAAAAATGAAATCCTACAGTCATTAGTAAAGACTCACCGGTCTCTAAAACAAAACAAACAAAAAGGCAATGGACTGAGGCACATATACTGTTAAAAATGCACCAATTAGTAAAAATAAAGGTTGCATTTCGTATCTCAACTAGACTTGGCCAAAAGCCAGGTACTTTACTACCCCTAAGAACTAGAAGTACTAAAGCAAAGTGAGATCAATTACTTAAAATAAGATTTCTGAGTTACCGATCCAAATTCTCCCTACCTACAAAGAACACCAAGAGGACAGGATGTGTATCTGGTTATCACAAACACGAATGTTTCACAGATACCATTAACATTTTATAGACCATTATTCCACCAAACCATTAATAGATACTTACAAGAAATCTAACACACTTCCTGCATGTCTGAGGTGTTAAAGTGTCCCATTTGAGAAGATGGTGAAAATCAGCTAAGAGGTTACATTTTTTAAAGGGTCTGACAGGTGCATATCCTTTAGAAAAATGTAACAGTTTGCTGGCAAGCACAATTTAGATGAAGCTACAAGTGTACGTGTATTTCTCATCGCCTTGATAAAAACTTGGTTCCTCTTATTTTGTCTTGTTCTCCCCAGTCATCTTCTGAAACACTAAGATAAGTCACAAATGCTCCTACTGATGTCTTAAATCTTCCACACGTCTGATTGGTGTGTATCTTCCAAATTCTGAAAGTCAGGTCCACCACTGAACTGTCATCAAGAAGAAATTTTCCCCCAGATCACAGTGACAGGAACTTGAGGGAGGGTACTTTCCTTCGTAGCATGCCATACATGACATTTCCAATGACCGTTTACCAATTGCATCTACCAGGAAATTCACTATTCTGAAGATCTACAACATTAGCAATGCTCTGATCTTTTCTGGACAGTTGTGGCTTTTATACTTCTATGTTAGATTTTAAACCTGTTAGGGACTACTAGTAAGTGTTTTGTGACCTGAAGTAAAACACGGACAAATACGGTAATCTTTAGCCTAAAAGGATGCAAGAAAACCTACTGTACTGTTGCCTAAAATTGCAAAGGATTAGAACTTGGGGGATTGTCCAGGCTAACACATCGAGACCACACAGCTCCTTCCTCCACACATTCCACTTTAATGTCTAATCTACCACTGAAAGCAAAGACTCAGACTATATTGATTCTGGCAGCGCAGAATCAGACCATTAAAAATGAGATTTATTAAATCTTAACCTTACAAACCAAGATACTATCCACTCTCTGTATCACTGAGCTGTCATATTTAAAACGTATTAAGCAAAAAAAGGTGTAACTGGATACTCCTTGGGTTTTTATTAATTATTATTATAGAAGACAATTTTTCATTAATTTTTTAGAAACCTTTGGTGCCAACAGATAACCATGTCAATTCCAGTACAACATTTTTCCAAAGAGATGAAAAAGAGCAAAACGTGTATAATAATTTAATTTTACACATTACGATGTTTAGATTCAGGCAACGTACGTAGAAATAGTGCGCCATTCTGGTTCACCTTATACAACTTGCTCAATTATAAGCTATCTGGAGCACACCTTTTCTTAACACTTGTGCCTGACATGGAGACAAAGACCACCAATGTCTCCATCTGGGGCTAATAAGCACTAGTGCAATACAAAGGGCTGATCTTTGAAAAACTAAATAAACCGTGTCCCTTACATGCTTTCTGAAATTAACTGAACACTGCTGACTGGATCTTATGGGAAAGAAGGGACATAAGTGTTGCTTTGAATTAATGGCAACCTTATGATAAACTGATACGCTTGAGGGTGAAAAATTGAAGTTGAAAGTACAGTTGCATTACTCAATTCAAGTGCAAGTGTATGTACATTATTTGATATAGAAGTTCAGGGGTCAAAGTTAATCATCTGCCAGATGATTTTCTACACAGAAAAAAAAAAGAAATATCTGTTTTAAAGAAAGCATAAAATGTGATGTTTAAGTGACCATCTATAACAGCCATCCAGCTCTTACTTCTTCATCCTCCTTAGCTTCATAAAAAAATGAGGGGGTGGGGAAAATTTTATGCCAAGAATTAACCTGTTCCCCGTATCACATCTCCTTCCTCCTTCTGTCAAGGTTTCTCATTTCTGAAGCTCAACTTTGCTTTGTTAGGGTTTGTCTAATCAGAAAGTTCAACTAAATTTAATGGAATTTAAATCTGGTTTTGTGCAAAATCCTATGAAAACAATTTGGTTGGAGGGAAGTTTACACTTGCTTATTTAAAGAAACCGAAATATAAGCTAATTTTAAAAAAGCACTCAAACTAAGTGTCTACATACAGGTTTATATTAGTTAGCTAAACTCCTATTTTTTAAAAAATGCATGTATAAACAGCTACCAACTTGCAAATCAATGCATCCAGATTTACATTAAAGTAGCTTAGTTATCTATGTATCAGAGCTGAGGTCAACAGCTAAGAGCCTTCTCAGTCTCACCAAAGGTAGCCATCTCCTCTCCCCACGGCTCGGATTTTACACCTTTGCAGATTTTAGTTTTCTGCCACCAAAGGGCCAGGTCACCTTTTGTCTGGCTGAACACTTACGCAGTTTGCTTAGCATTGGTTCAGCACAAGTGGGGTGGGGAGAGGGAACAGGAGGTAGGATGAAAAAGTCGTGAGTCAGGAGGAGCTATGTGAAATCCCACTCACAGGACTTTATTGCACAAAAAGCAAAACATCAAGCTGTAAATGTAGGAAGCACAACTCCAACTAGTTTCAAGTTGCTCCCTCAGAGAAAGCTGGTTTATTCCATCACTAAATACTACTTATTTCCTAGCAATTTCTACACTACATGTTTTTATAATCTGGCTTTCCAAATGCTTACTTACACTTAAAAGATGTCATCAAAGCTGAAGATGGATTAACGTTCTCTTTTTCCTCTTTTCTTTGACCATGTGGAAAATTGTCATGTTTTCGTTTTCTGAACCCACCCGATCCTAGTAATACAAGAGAGACACACAAAAATATATTTAAAAATAAAGTTGCTTTGCCAGTGCCTAAGCACCATCATAATGTTGTCTTCAGAGCATTCCTGACTGTAGCCATATTTTACAGGATAGAACAAAGGTAACTGGATCAACCTTATTACCAACTGACATCATCTTCACATCATCATACTACTGTTTCCACCACATTCCTAGTAAAGATTAGAAAAAAATCCCACCAATTTCAATGGATGAGTGTGGTAGGATCCCAAGTCTTTTTTCTGGGGATTTTTTTGGGGGTTTTTGTGGGGGGGTGGTGCGTGTAAGATCTTCACACCCTTTTATGTTTCCTTTCTGTAAGAGAATGGCCGCATGGGAATCCTTGTGTCAGCAAGGGCCTCAGGATTAGACCTTTTTTCCTCTTTCCTTTTTTTTTTTTTTTAATTATTTTCTATATTCAGTTTGACAGGAGTCATTAAAACTACAAGTTATTCATTACCATAATAATTTATGTCATGGGTCTTGAGTAATCTGAAAAAGCAGCAAGGCATAATTTAAGTAGACTACCATTATCCAGGTATGCAGGTTTATCTCCTGCAGCATAGCATCTTACGCTCTGCCCGTTGACTGGTTTCTTCTCTTTTCACCCCATATAGCTGTTCTCTTCAAGTGGCCTTACATGCCTCTTCCTTAGCCTCCCTTTTCAAACCCTCACCCAGAACTCATCTCTTTTGGATTGTGTTTTGCTACTGATTTACACTTTGTAATGTTTCTTCCTTTTGTCCTTCCTTCACCTAGGACTGACTCATTGTGTCATTCACGTTTTAACCATTGCTCCCTCTTGCTACCTCCTTTTTATGACAGCTGTACACTTTGTGTTCCTAACAGAGGCCAAAATTTGGCAAACTCTTACACACAAGCATACCTTTTTGAGTATGTGGAGTTCTCTCAATTTCCTTAAAAGAAGAACAAAAGGAAGCCACTTAAAAGTTACAGAAGAACATTGGATTTTAAAATGTTTCCGTTTAATTGTTTATTATCCCAAACCAAAACCAGAAGTGGGCGTAGTTACTTTCTAAAAGAGGAAACTGAAAATCATTTTTTCCTTCTTTTCTGTTAGGACATGAGTTCAGGGTTTTGTTTTTCCTGCAGCAGCTGAAAACTTTACAAACACGACTCCTGAAATAGTGCAGAGAATTAAACTCTGTGCAGTATTCCAAAAGTTGGGAACATGATGATGACCTACAAGAAAAACCAGGCCCTCCTGAAGTCAGGGAGGGGCAGGGAGAGAAATAGAGAGAGATGAGGTTCCACTGAATAACCAACAATTTGAAAATCAGAAAACAACAGAGTGCAGTAACAATAACTGAGCCTCAATTAAAAAAAAATAAAAAAACCCAGCTTCCTTGCTGCAGAGCCTACTTTCAGGCTGAAGGGAGGTCTGTGTGACCACCTGGGCTAAACCAACACAAGGGTTGCAAAGCGAATGCTGCGTTATTGAAAGCCAGTTATCGCTACAAGCACTTTACAGGCCTAGTGCACTTTTGGTTGTAGCAACTGTTTTTTTACCACTAAGGCTGAAGACTTCTAAACTACATTCACAGGCATACGCGTAAAGCCCAACTGAGAAGGTGACAAGGCCTCTGAAGAAACGGTCTGTCTCAGCGTAAAGGCGGAATTTAGCGACACGGTTGAGGGGAACCACTGGTTCACGGCAGAGGCTCGCACCTCC